ATCAACACAATACCAACGTAATCAATCACATTGGCATTCTCAAACTAACTGCTTATCGTTCTGAAGTCTTCACAAACACAGCAATCGTTTAGATCTAGGACTTCCGTAACGAGCGACCACCCCAGCCTACGCAATAAAGAAGGGACTTTTGAGTGGGATATGTAAAAGATAGGGTTTAGTATTTGGTTGGGCAATAAAGAAAGTAAAGAAAGCAAATTGAGTTTGTGTTACTTTGTATTCCTCTTGCCTTCCTTTGTCTCTTCACCTGGAATGGGAATTATTAGTGACATGTTAACATCTCAAAGCATACACATCAATATGACATGATTAGAAAAATCAGTGACGTGGCTGGGAATCGAACCTATGAGTGAGGGAAGCAAACATGATTAGTAGTCCAGCAGCATAACCACTATGCCAAACAGCTGGTGTTACCAATGTGTGAAAAAAAGTTCTTATAAACCTACTTGAGTTAAGTGTGAGTGTATCACCTTTCAAAATTCCCAAAACGCAATTACTTTTGACATCAAATGATTTTGACGAGGTTCCTTCGCAAAATTAGGAAAGCTGATGCGATCGGCTTCAAAAAAAAAGAAAGAAGAAAAAAAAGTAAATTTCTGAGTCGACTCTACCTCATTTGCACATTAAAAAAACGACTTCCGGTTTTTTGAGTTGCCATCGTGGACAGGCGCGGCTTTCTCCCTACCGGTCTACTTGTATTTCGTTCTTTTCGTACTCCCGTGTCGCGGTAAGAGATGAAGCGAAAAATTAAACACTATAACGATTTCATTAGCACATGTTTTGAACGGAAAAGAAAAAACGACATAAAAAACGAATTCCGTGACAACCGTGACCTCAGTGCTTTCTTGTCCTATCTCGTTGACAACGTGACGTAGGATAGTAAAAATTATCTATATAAGCGTTTTGATTTTTGTGCATGTTGTGTGTTCTACTTCTCTCCAGAGCCACCATCTCTCGCTATTTCTATTTCTAGTTCTTCAAGTGGTTTTTGTATTCCTGTTCTAGTACAAGAGGAGAGCTGTTATTTGAGTTATTGAGTGTCTATGCGCGCGTGTGTTCTTGGTGTTTGAGTAGTTTTTACTTTTTTTCTTGTGAAATGTGAGTATGAGTGAGGAAGCGAGTGGTCCGTCTAGTGCGAAGAAAGCGTGTAAGGATTTTTCTGATTTTATTAATTTTTCGCAACTGTGTCGCTACACCTCTACCTTCGAGGAGTGTGTCCAGTTTGGACAGAAGTGGGGATTGTTCCCGAGGTCCTGCTTATGTCCCAGCTGTGGTGACATTTTGGACACAGTCCATTATTCGAAGAGGGGCAACGCGACACAGGCCCGATTTCGGTGCACCAAGCGCGCCTGCCGAAAATATATATCGATAACCAAGAAAACTTGGTTTGAAGGAGCCAAAGTTTCGTTCAAAAAAAGCCTCTTTCTAGCCTACTGCTTCGTCAACCGCAGTAGTTACGACACCGCCATCCGCGAAACGTCAGGACCAGACTTTGACGACTGCGAAACCAGTTCGGAAACGGTGGCCGATCTGTACAATTATTGCAGAGAGGTCATCGTTGAAAGTCTCTACTGCGGTGACGAAGTGCGGCAGATTGGTGGGGCCAACTACAGTGTCGAGGTCGACGAAGCCAAGTTTGGAAAACGCAAATATAATCGCGGGACGGTGGTCGACGGCCAGTGGGTGTTCGGCGGCATTTGTCGCGAGACCAAGGAGTGCTTCCTTGTCCCAGTACAAGACCGCACCCAGGATACCCTCGTCAGTCTGATTAAGAAGCACGTCGCTCCAGGTACCATAATCTACAGCGATTGTTTCAAGAGCTACGAGTGCCTGGAGCGAGAGGGTTTCCGACAACTGACCGTCAACCACACCGAAAATTTCGTCGACCCGCATACCGGCGCCCACACCAACACCATCGAATCAACCTGGTGGGCAGTGAAGAGGAGTTTGCGCTCATCCCACACCCAGAAGCAGCACTTCGCTGCCCACCTGGCGGAATATATTTGGCACCGGCAGAACGCCGATGCCAAATGCAAGTTTGTACGTTTCCTGAAGGAGATTTCAAAGGTCTACCCAGGACTGGAAGCATGAAAAGGTAGGTGATTTATATCTAATTCTAATGCTATCCCTGCCCTACCCCTACCACTCACAGACACCGCAAATCAACCCAAATGTGAGAAAATACATGGGATTATATATTGTAATTAGGGGGGCAAGCCCCCCAATAACCCCCATGTGATTCTATATCGTTTCTGATGTTTTGTGGTGTGATTTGACACCGCAAATCAACCCAAATGTGAGAAAATTGGGGGGCAAGCCCCCCTACAACCCCCCATGGGATTATATATTGTAATTAGGCTAACCCTAGCCCTAGCCCTTGCCCTAACACTATCCCTACCCCTACCCTTAACTCTATTCTACCTATTTCATAATGGTCGCTCGTTACTTTGATATGAGAATTAGGTAAAAAATCGAAAAAAACCTGGCAAACCAGCGCTACCAAACAACGGAAGTAGATAAAGTCTGCAGGGTCAACAATGGCTGCGTCTTGACTCTCGTCTACTATTCCCCGACTCAGACCTTCAAAACTTTGAACTGGGCCTAAAAATGCGCAAACTACCGTAATTTTGTCATTAACAAGTAGTATAACAGTGGCTTTCGGCCTTCTATTATGATTTTGGAAGCCATTGAGTATAATCTAGATTTAATAGTGGTCGCTCGTTACGGAAGTCCTCCCAGATCTACAATCCGAGGAAGCTCCAAATGAATAGATCTTTGCTACACACTACACTTCTGTATTACAAACCGTAAGATTGAACGAGGACGATAGACAGAAGGAGGAGAATCAGGGTGGACTGACCTACTTCGGGTTTGGCGAGCTTATGTCGTCCAGAAACAATTATTTGAAGCAAATATAAGTGAATATTCACTCACCTGTGCTGACGAATTGATGTATTGAAAATTCAGTGCGATGAGAGAAATGCGTCAAAAGCGTTCACTGTCTGTCTGTAGGCACGCAGCGTAAACAATAACAACAATGGCGGCAGTAGGGGAAGCCCCTTCCGTTGCTACCGGCTGAGCCAATGAGCGTTCGCGAAGTCGTCACGTGCTAGGATAATCCAATCACGTTTTGCTACGGGGTCTTCACATAAGCATAAACGGCGGTCTGTGATATTTCTGTACGATACCGAAACTACGGTAATTGAACGGCCGAAATCGCGACCTTTACAACGATACCAAATGTTCCCAATGATAGTAAATAACAAGATGGGCCACTTCTCTCTTTGAGCCAATTAAAAAAGTGTCCTCAAAATTTGGTGGCGCCCTCTTCACAAAAGCGCACTCTTTGCGAACAGAGTTACCCTACTTGAGTTTAAAAAAATCAAAGTGAAACTAGCAAGTTTTGGGATAAATTTCGGAAGAACGCTTTTTAAAAATGGTTACGCTGACAAAAACCTCTTCCGGAGGAAAAGGAGATGGTTTTCTTCGTTTAATTTGACTTTAGAATGAAGGGCGAGAGGACATTAAAAAAACAACCCCCTAAAACTCCGCACTGAACGTACCCGAACTGCTGATGAACAGCAGTCGATCTGCGCACGCAAGGAGGTGCTATTCCTATTCTTCTTCTGGAAAAACGAAAGAGAGCTTCAAAACAGACTGCAGCGCCATCTGAAGCAAAGAGCATACTTCCTGCGGACACTTTTTAGGCTGAGTGGCCCATCTTGTCTTGTACTATCTTTGATGTTCCTACGTTGCAGTTGTGTAAAGCAGCATGAGAAAGAGTCAAAGTTTGGTATTTTCTGACTTTTTATTCAAAATTTCCTTCACCCCAACCTCTCTCAAAGGCATTTTTGGGTGATCTTGAGGTGTTTTTATGCAGTGAAGCCTCC